ATTTCTTCCTGTCTTATACATTTCTTTCTTTCTTTATTTATTTTCTGTATACAACTTTACTTCGCCTTTATTTTATAGGTTTTACGGTTTTGATTCTCACTTCTTGTGGTTAATATTCATTCACCTTCTAGATCCTTTTAGACTAGCTTGCCTTTTTCAGTCCTTTTTCTTTACACATTTTTTTGTTTTCCTCTATTAACTATCTTATTTGTTCCTGCGCGTCACTTTCTACATTTCCTTCCTCTTTTATTCCACTTATTCTCCCGACACCTTTTTCCGAATTACACTTTTATTTTGCTTGTTTTTTATATATTTTTTTTTCTCAGCAGCGATTAGATTTTTTTTTTTTCATTTTCACGACGATTTTCGCATTTTATTTTCGAACCAATTACATTCTATAGCCCATCTCCAGTTTTGCCCGAACTGCCCTTTTTCTTTCTATTTCCTAATAAGACAAGAGTTCCCAGTAGCCTTCAACTTTGGCATTTCCATTATTCTGCAATCAGTCATAAACTGAAACTTTATTTCTAACTTCGACACACGCCACTAGCTTACCAGAGAATAATGAGACAGCCAGTGAGAAAAATGTCAAAAAATAAAAATAAAAAAAAATATTTATAATTTTTCAATAGAAATCGCGCGCACATAATTCATAAAACACCTACACACGCTAAAACACGGATGCATAGGCACATAACAACATGCATACAAATACACACACACACACACACACACACACATATATATATATATATATATATATATATATATATATATATATATATATATATATATATATATATGTGTGTGTGTTTATATAATTTCATTTTCTCATATACATACATATATATATAAACAAATAAATATATACAAATATATATATATATGAATATGCCAAGATTTGTGATGTATATAATTTTATATATTCATATATATATACATATATATATGAAAAAGTGGAACCTCACCATATAGAAATATATATCGTAAAACACACACACGCTAGCACAAACATACATGCGCATATATATGTGTGTGTGTGTGTGTGTAAATATAAATATATAGGTATATATTTACATATATATATATATATATATATATATATATATATATATATTAAATATATATTTATATATGTATGTATTAATTTATGCAAAGAAGGTGTCATATATATATATATATATATATATATATATATATATATATATATATATATATATATATATATGACTGACAGTCATCACCTTGCACCTATTTCGTTTTTCGTCTCGTTCGACAGTTTATGAAGCCATATTTAAAAAATATATACATATATAAAATGAAAAAAAATTAAAAAAATAAGACTACAATCTTTGTAAAAAATTTGTCCTTTTTTTTCCAGTCTGTCTTTATTTTAAGTGAAGCTTGAAATTAATCTATCAACAATGAGAATATAATATTCACAAATAATTTCTCCAGGGTTTAAGAAATCGTAAATCATTACATTGGGTCTTGATGAAAAACTTTCTGCCACACCCAAAACAGACTTCAATTGATCATTTTGCGCGGCAAAAGAAACAAACAAAAAACTCAAATGATTTTCTTTATTTTTTTTTTTTGTCGTCACTTATGACGTTTGTTTTAATTCTTTTGTTTACTAAAAGTAATTTGCTTTTTCTCTTACTAATAAATATCAAATACTTATCGATCATTTTTAACAATTTCAGTCAAGTCGTAAGTTATCGACAGTCACTAGTCATCCGCTTTTGTATTCTTGGTATTATCTTTTTATTTGCCCCCAATTCACTGTTTTTTTTGGGGGGGTTTGTTGATTTTTATCTAATTTAACTTGATTTTTTTTTATTTCTGGTCTTTCAGACACTTGTATCATGAATGATGCATTGTCTTGTAAGTATCTTCAAGTACATGTATCACAAAAAATTACTATTTAAATTATTATGGCGGCAATTGTGTATAGAGTGGTTATACAAAAAAATATATAAAAGAAATATACAAAAAAAAAGACTCTTTTGCGTAAATACCTTCGAATGCATAAGTCACATATAGTTACATATATTTAGTCAATAGCAAAAGTTCACATAGACCTCATTTTGATGTGGAAACCGAATACACAAAAATGTACCGCGCTTTAATAAAATAACATTGAAAACTTTTGCACAGACTTGAATACCTTTTCACTCATTCGTTTTTATTGCCATTCTTCAATTTCAGCTTTTTAATTTATTTCTTACTTTTCTTCTTTTCTTCTGTGTCTCTTATTCTTTATCGTTTTTTCGGCTTATGGCCATATCACATTGAAACACCTGTTCTCACGATCTCCGAAGTTAAGCAACGTCGAGTCTGGTCTGTATCAAGACTGGCGACGGCTCAGATTACCAGGTGCTGTAAGCTTGGATTTGAGGGTGGTGTAATGGATAACGTCTCGAAATTAGAATTGAAAGAGCCGAGTTCTATTTACAGTCGTGTTTGTACGCGCCGATAGTCTTGGAAAAGGTATGAAAAATCCCCACCCTCTGGACTATGGGTGTGGCGTCTATAACTCATCACTATTTAAAAAAAATATCTTACAATCCAAGAATATTTTCTGGCCTTAAATAACTGGCAAAAGGTTGATAAGCCGTAAAAATAACAAATCAGTAAATATGTTATCATTCTCTCCTTCTTCCTTTTCCCGTTTTCTCTTTTATTTATTTATTTATTTTATATTGTCTCTTTTCGCTCAATTTAAACGGTATCAATAAACTGACTTAAAAGCACAAACGACAAGCTGGGAGATTCGGATGAGTTTGAAGCTTGAACTATTCTGTAACAGTAAAGAAAGAGTCTAAGATTTACAACATTAACAACAGGTTGGTTTTGGAATTCGGCTGGAGATTTTTTTTTTAAATCATTTCAGCCAAAAAGGCAATAAAGCCACTAAGACGCAAGAGATAAGTGTGACAGGAGACGAGAAATAGCGATTGATATTATATTCAAAATTTTTGAAGGTCAAAGTTGACTGAAACTCAAGAAGCCGGAAGTGAGTTGACAGAAGAAACCGTTAGTATAAAACTTGCATTTTTATCTAACCATTTCAACTGTAAGATCTTGCTGCCAATCGAGTAGTACGTTTAATTCAAAGATTCAAGACAAATGGTAGAAAATTACTACATTTTGGTTTGTTCGAAATATTGAATGAACAATCTTTTTTTTTTCTTTTTTTTTTTTGTGCATAGTATTAAATTGTTTCTGATGGAGGCAGTTATTTACATATTTACAGTTATTTACATATTTGTATATTCATAGCTGTCAGTATCTATCTCCTTCTCGAGACGTTATCTAACTTTCTCTGTCTCTCTTCATGCACACACACACAAACATCGAGAGGCAACAGTCTCTTTCCTGCTTGAGCGCAATCTTCAGGTCATCTATTATATGTAGCAAAGTCTATTTTTTACCGTTACTGGGCAGCCGGTAACGGTCATATTTAAATTATTCTAAAGGTTTATTGCATTGAAATTATTGTTGATCCGAATGCAGTTATTTTTCGTTATTGTAGTGTTGTTTGTTCACGTTTAACTCATTATTTATTATTGATTAGTTATTATTGATTACTTAGTGATTTTTTTATTTATTTTGCTGTATTTATTGTATTTACTGTATTTATTGCCTTTATTATTATTATTATTATTATTATTATTTATTATTATTACTTATTATTTATTATTATTATTTATTATTATTATTTATTATTTGTTGTATTTATTTTATTTACGGAATTTACAGTATTTATTATTACTTTTTGTTATCATTTATTATTATTATTCACTGAATTTACCGTATTTATTGAATTTCTTATTATTTCTTATTATTTATTTTATTTATTGCATTTACCGTATTTATTGTATTTATTATTATTTTTTTTATAATTTATTATCATTTATGAATATTATTTATTGTATTTACCGTATTTATTGCATTTATTATTATTATTTATATTATTCATTATTTATTATTATTATTATTTATCATTATTTATTGTATTTAATGTATTTAATATTTTTCTTATTTATTGTATTTACGTACTTACTGTATTTATTATTTATTATTATTAATTAATATTATTTATTTCATTTACCGTATTTATTGTATTTATTATATTTACGTATTTATTGTACTTATTATTTTTTATTTAATTATTTACCATATTTATTGTATATATTATTATTATTATTATTATTGTATTTAACGTATTGTATTTTTTTTTATTGTTTAACTCATTATTTATTATTGATTATTATT